CTCCTGGAGCCCCTTCAGGCCCTGCCAGGGGCTCTGAGCTCTCCCTGGAGCTTCTCCTCTCCAGGGGAGCACCCCCAGCTCTCCTGGAGGAGACAGGACATCCTGGGGGATCCTTGTGGCTGTTTTTAGGAGGCTGAGCTGTGGTGAGCAGCTCCTTGTGGCACAGCCGGGGCTCCCCAGGGACTCTGAGGAGCCACCGGGCCAGGAATGAAGCAGTTAAAGTCTGTATAAAACACAGGCCGGTGATGTTGTGTTGTATAACAGACAGATAATATGTTTTTTCCCGGCATCTGTGCTCCAGCTTGCCTGAAAAGCTCCAGACCTGAATTTCAACCCCTGTCAGCAGTTGCAGCGCAGCCTCGCAGCGCTGTCACCCGCAGTAAATTACCGGCTTGGCGTTAATCTGCCCGAGCCCGGAGAACCGAGATCCCTTCAAATGCATCTCCCAGACATCCCCTGCGAGCCGCAGCTTTAAAATCCATCCGGGGGAAGCAGAGCAGGGGTTTTATTGGAAGGCAAACATAAAGCTCCGCTCCCGAGGGAGCGCGGCCCAGGGGAGGGGGGATAAAGCCACCCCGGCCCGGGGCGGGGGGGACGGGCCATTGTTTGCCACAAAGGACAGGAAACGAGCCTCAAAGGGGACATGAAAGAACCTTAAAACAAATGCAGATCAGCGAGCGGGGATGGCTCCGAGCATCTCCCGCCTGCTCTGCCCAGGGCGGGGGGATCGGAGCGGGGAGCCGGGGACCCCTCGAGTGCTGGGACCTGCCTTTGCTGCCAGGAGTGGAGGGGAAAAGGGCCAGAGGAGCCTGGGGTCCCCCCGAACCACCCCCGAACCACCCCCCGACTGTGTCCCGGCTCGATGCTTGTAGAACCATCAAATCAAGGAATGGTTTGGGGTGGAAGGGACCTTAAAGTGCCACTCCTGCCATGGCAGGTACACCTTGCACTATCCCAGGCTGCTCCAAGCCCTGTCCAGCCTGGCCTTGACCTTATGGTTAAGACTTTATGGTCTTAAAGCTCCTTTCCAACCTAAAAAACTCCAGGATTCCAAGCCCCTTCCCTTCCAAATCCCTTCATTCCCACGGGATGGGACTGAGCCGGGCAGGACACTCAGAGCTCGTCCTTACTCCAGCCTTGGGCTGCTCTCCTGCTTCTTCAGTGCCCCCAGACCTCATCCCATCCTCCATCCCCTGCCCAGCTCCACCCAGCCCCAGAACTGGCTGGGTTTGGGTCTCCTTAGGGCCCCCCTAGGACGGGGAGCTGGTGTGGTGCCCTGCAGGAGCTCTGTGGCTGGAGAAACCGAGCTGTGCTCAGCGAGAGACGTCACAGAGGTGCCAAAAACGCACTAAAGCCAGTTTTTCTACACGGAGATATCCCTTATCTGCTCTGAAAAGCAGGGGTTTGGTCGCTTTGGAGTCGAGCCCCTGTGCTGAACGTGCTGCTCCTCCCAGTGAGAGCAGGCTGGCCTTGGAGCCAAGTGGCAGCAATGACCCGCAGTGGCCCACAGAGCCATTTCCTGCCATACAAGGCAGGCTGGTGGCCCTCTGCCAGAGGGGACAATGAGGGACGATGGGGCCTGGCCTGTGAGCCCTCGTGTTCCTGTTTACTTGGAGCCTTGGTCGTGGATCAGAGAGATTTCTCTGGCTCCTTTTTCAGCGATTTGGAGCGCAGTGGAAGCAGCAGAGCCCAAATCCTGCAGGAATCCTCCTCCTGTGAGGGGTCCCTGGCATTGGTGGCTCTGTGTCATCAGGGGGGACCTTCCCCAGCCCTGCAGGGGGTCCCACCAGCTCTGTCACCCCCTGAAGGACAGCAGGGCCCGGGGCCACCTCCTGGCTCACGGGCAGTGACCTGGCCCCTGTGCCACCAGCAGCATTGCGGGCTGGCCAGGAGGAGCCCGGGGCTCTGTGTGCTGCTGTCACACCAGGGAAGGGACAAACATCACCCAGCCCCGCAGGGAGGGGAGTTCCCGCTGTTATCTCGTCCTTCCTTCAGCCCAGAGCCCGACCAACACCCTGCAGTTATCAGCCCGGCCGGCTGGGAGGGGCTGGGACAGGGACAGGGGCCGGGCAGGGGGACAGCAACGGGGCACTGGGGACAGGAAAGTGGCACTGGGGATGGGAATGTGGCACTGGGGATGGGAAAGTGGCACTTGGGATGGGAACGTGGCACTGGGGACAAGAACATGGCCCTGGGGATGGGAATGTGGCACTGGGGACAAGAACATGGCCCCGGGGACAGGAAAGTGGCACTGGGGATGGGAATGTGGCCCTGTGGACGGGAATGTGGCACTGGGGATGGGAACATGGCACTGGGGACAGGAAAGTGGCACTGGGGATGGGAAATTGGCACTTGGAATGGGAATGTGGCACTGGGGATGGGAATGTGGCACTGGGGACAAGAACATGGCCCTGTGGACAGGAAAGTGGCACTGGGGATGGGAATGTGGCACTTGGAATGGGAATGTGGCCCTGTGGACGGGAATGTGGCCCTGGGGACAAGGACATGGCCCTGGAGGTAGGAATGTGGCACTGGGGATGGGAACAAGAACAAGTGGCCCTGGGGACAAGAATCTGGCAGTGGGGACAACAAAGTGGCACTGGAGACAGGAAAGTGGCACTGGGGATGGGAATGTGGCACTGGGAATGGGAAAGTGGCACTGGGGACAAGAACGTGGCAATGGGGACAACAAAATGGCACTGGGGATAGGAATGTGGCACTGGAGATGGGAATATGGCAATGGGGACAAGAACATGGCACTGGGGTTAGGAACATGGCACTGGGGACAGGAAAGAGCCATTGGATATGGGAATGTGGCACCGGGGACAGAAAAGTGGCACTGGGGACAAGAACATGGCCTGGGAATGGGAATGTGGCACTGGGGATGGGGAAGTGGCAGTGGAGACAAGAAGATGGCCCTGGGGACAGGAAAGTGGCACTGGGGACAAGAACATGGCCCTAGGAATGGGAATATGGCACTGGGGACAAGAGCATGGTGCTGGGGATGGGAATGTGGCACTGGGGACAGAAAAGTGGCACATGAGACAGGAGTGTGGCACTGGGGATAGGAAAGTGGCATCTGGGATGGGAATGTGGCACTGGGGATGGGAAAATGGAATCAGAAATCGCCGAGGTTGGAAAAGCCCTCTGGGATCATTGAGGCCAACCATTGTCCCAGCACTGCCAAGGCCACCACTAATCCATGTCCCCAAGTGCCACTCCAGGGATGGTGACCCCAGTGTTGCCCTGGGCAGCTGTGCCAGGGCCTGACCCCCCCCGATCAGGAATTTCTCCTGATCTCCAATCCAAACCTCCCTTGGAGCAGCTTGAGGACAAGAGGAATCTTGTCCTGTGCCTTGGAGCCAGGGGAAGAGCCCGACCCCCACCTGGCTGCACCCTCAGGAGCCAGGAAGTTGCCAGAGGCACCTGGGGTGGGGGCATGGAGCTGGAGAAGGGGTTGGGGTGCCTGGAGAAGGCAACAGTCCCTGGGGATGGGAACATGGTGCCTGGAGTTGGGGATGTGGCTCTGGAGACTGGAGCACCACACCTGGGGATGGGAACATGGTGCTTGAGGATGGGAACATGGCTCTGGAGATGGAACCATGGGATGTGGGAGTGGGAATGTGTCTCTGGAGAAGGAACCATGGCTCTGGAGAAGGAACCATGGCTCTGGAGATGGAACCATGAGATCTGGGGATGGGAATGTGTCTCTGGAGAAGGAACCATGGCTCTGGAGAAGGAACCATGGCTCTGGAGATGGAACCATGGGATCTGAGAATGGGAATGTGGCTCTGGAGATGGAACCATGAGATCTGGGGAT